CGCCGCCCGCTCTCCCGCTGTCCCTCGGGGCGCGCCCGCCACCGCCCGGCCGTCTCCCCGCGCGCGCTCTCTGGCCTTGGCCCGGCTACCGCCGAGTGGGGGTGACAGGCGGGCGGAGTTGTGGTGCGGAGGAGGCAGCACGTGTGGCAGAGAGTCTGTCGGACTGTCACCCCGGGAGGGTATGGCGCCGGGACACTGCTGCAGGACCTGTCAGGCCCCGCGCGGTCCCGCGAGCCAGCCGGTGCGGAGATCGGGTCGGGGAGCTGGGTTCAGGGCTATCTAGCTCTAAACTCCACGTGATGGCATTGTTAACTTACTCCTTGGGCTCTGTTTCCAGCTGATGGAAGCGGCGAAGCAGCCCATTGGCAAGCTGCACGCCTGTGCCGTTTCAAGTTTTTAAAGTTTCTAGCTCTTTAAAAAGAGAGCGCGAAGACGTGTTTGGGGGTGGGGAAAGGGGGCCGGGAAGGACTGTCGGAAGCCAATTGCGCGCTCTCTAGCCTCAGGTGCACTTTCTCAGAGTTAGGTTCAAGTCTACGGAGCGTTACTTTCCGCAGTCCCGGCGATTGGTGAAAATCCTGGCCGGAAAGACAACGAGTGACTGTCATTCTTTTTCTTTTCTCTCTTTTTCTCTTTTCTGCTCTTTCACCTGTGAGCTTAATCACTTAGGACGTGCCAACTTCTTAAACTCAGGTTGTAACTTCTCTTTCGGTTTATCGTTAATGTGTAATGAACTTTCTTGGAGTAATAAAACTTTTCCAGCCTCTGGTGACTCTTAGAGAAATGAAGCGTAACTCTCTCAGGGGGCTTCTTTTTTTGTCATCTAGTTTTGAGATAAATATTGGCTCAGGTTTGAGATGGTTTTGTTTCAGCCTCTGCTTTCATGTTATAGTAAACAATACTACTCTTTCCAAATGCCAATTAACTTTCTTTTTAATTTTAAAGTCTTTTTTTTTTTTTTTTTTTTGTACCGGGGATCGAACTCGGGACCTTCCGCTTGCGAGGCAGGCGGCAGAACCACTGAGCTATAATCCCCGGCTCAAAGTCATTTTTAAGAATAGTTGCTACCAGAGCAATTTTTCTAGCATTGTTTATAATGTAATTCACATGTTCCCCTGAATAAGAGCAGAAGTTCTTAAAAAAATCACTTAAGTAAGTTAAACTTAGTTTTGGAGGCAAATGAATTATTTTAGGTCAGAATTCAATATTTTAGTGATTTAAAAAAATGTGTACCTGTCAGATTATTTTGTATGGAAGAATATTGATTGATTTTGACCCAGAGAGGCAGTGTATTTGTATGTTTTATTCATTAATGTTCATCTTGTGACTGCAGTCTTGAATTTATATCTTTATCAGATTAAGTTCTCTCTAGACCCACCCACAAATAACCAGTACAATTTTTTCTGTACTATAAATTTGATGTAAATGTGCATTTGACCCCAGTGATTCTTGGCCTTTCTTATTTCTAGTTCCTCTATAGTTTGCTTATAAACAATCAGACAGTACTCCAGTATGTGGATGTTAATATCTTAGTTTGGGTTAGAAGTTAACAGTGTGCATTTTCAAAAATTTGAGTGAAATCAGATTATTTTCAGCACTTTTACACGGCTTTTCCAGTGTTACTTTCATTTGCATTTGGAAAGTTTAAGTAATATTGTACTTAAATTATAAAGTTGATCTGTGAAACTTGAATTTGTATTTCTTTTAAGGGTTGATAATTTTTCATCTACTCTCAATGTCTGGAATTTTGAAAGATGAAAGATTCACTCTTACTTTCATTGCAGGATTCTTTCTACTAATCCAGATACTGTTGAAGTGCTGAATAGTTTCTTGGGGAAGATGTCAAGGAAGCGGTGCAATTCATAGACTGGTGAGCGCAGATTCTGGAGTACAGGATAGCCAGCACCTCTCTGGTTAGTTGTAGCTTTAGCTTAAGATCATTTATAGACCATCTCATTGTATTTCCTCGTTGTATTTTAGTCATCTTTTCTTTTTCATATAATTGTTTACATACATACATTCTTGTTTGGGAATAGTAGAAGTGTATTAGAACTCTTAGGAATGCTCAGTAAACACATTGCTATTTGATTGCTTCAAAAGACTAGGATGTTTCAATTATAATTTATTTTTAAAAATGGGCTTTGCTAGAAGATTGACATTGTTTTAATTACTTTTTCAGGCATAAGATGCACATTTTCTATTCTGACACTGGGGATGAGATCTGTGGACTTCTTACGACTTTGTGAAGAGACCCATATGTGGTGCTATTGAAAACTTTATGGGGAAGTTTGAAGGCTTCAAATAACCAGTTGTTTTGGTTTCTAAATTAAAAGTGGGGATGCATTCTATTTTGTGAAACGAGGAAGGACTCAGGCCAGAAAACTTGTATGCTATGGTTAACTGGTTTCCATCCTCCGAGAATCTTGTTTTCCATGGTGTAAAACTTACTCAACATCAGGATAAGGGATAACGACTCTATGGATATACAGAATCCTTCACCATGGTAAAACTCGCTAACCCGCTGTATACTGAGTGGATTTTGGAGGCCATCAAAAAAGTGAAGAAGCAGAAACAGCGTCCTTCAGAAGAAAGGATATGCAATGCAGTGTCTTCATCTCATGGCTTGGATCGTAAAACTGTTTTGGAACAATTGGAGTTGAGTGTTAAAGATGGAACAATTTTAAAAGTCTCAAACAAAGGTCTCAATTCCTATAAAGATCCTGATAATCCTGGGCGAATAGCACTTCCTAAACCTCGAAACCATGGAAAATTGGATAATAAGCAAAATGTAGATTGGAATAAACTGATCAAAAGGGCATTTGAGGGCTTGGCAGAGCCTGGTGGGTCAACTTTGAAAAGTATTGAACGCTTTTTGAAAGGTCAGAAGGATGTATCGGCATTATTTGGAGGCAGCGCTGCCTCTGGCTTTCACCAGCAGTTACGATTGGCTATCAAACGTGCCATCAGTCATGGCAGACTCCTTAAAGAGGGACCTCTCTATCGGCTCAACACTAAAGCAGCCAATGCTGAGGGGAAGGAGAGTTCTGAGTCTCTTTCCTGTTTACCTCCAGTTTCACTGCTTCCACATGAAAAGGACAAGGTAAGAAGGGTGTATGCATTGGTGTTCATAGAGCTGACAGTGTGGAGTGCTATAGATTCATATTTCTTTGAAGTTATCTAGAAGTTACGTTTAAGGTTTATGTTTGGGACTTGTGGAGTGATCTCTTCTGGTTTCTTATTGATGAGTTCCAACTGTGAGAACTTCATAGATACTGATTGTTTTGGTACTTTGAAATATTTGAAGCTAAGATTGAAAAAGGACATAATTAGATTAAAATCTAAAAGTGACATACAACTTTAAAGTTTTAAGGTTCTTAGGGTACCTTACTGCTGGAAGTTGATAAGCAGCCTGATAGGTGGAGACTTGACTTTGAAAGCAGCAGATGACTAAGAACAGTCCCGCCCCACTTTAGGTTATCATTAGACAGGAATGAGATTAGAGTCTCACGAATGAGACACATTCTCTTTTACCTAAGATCATGGAAGCTATTTCTAGGATGAGATTATAAAGTTAACATTGAGCATATTTAAAAACATCTGAGATTTGATCTAATTTTATTGAAGTTAATATCCCACTGAATAGCTACCTGTAGATTTTTGTTTAAATCACAGTTGAAAATTAACAGTATTTTTCTTTGAACTTTTTAGAGATCTATTTTAAGGGGTTCAGTTTTTCCACTGAACTTTCGAATAAAAGCATGTTGTTACAGTTAAGTATCTCTAATCTGAAAATCCAAAATGTTCTCAAATCTGAATCTTTTTTGAGTACAGGCAAATGCTCTGTGAAGCTTAATGATTTACAATGCTTCCAAGTTCCAGATTTTGGAGAATTTTTGGATTTTGGACTTTCAGATTAGGGATGCTCAGCTGGTAAAGTCTATGTAAATACTCTAAAATCCAAAAAACTATGAAATCTGAAGTACTTCCTGTCCCAAGCATTTTGGATAAGGGCTACTCAACTTGAGTTATCTTTAAACTAATTCTCATGAACTGATAGAGAATCTTATTCAGAAAATGATTCTATAGTATTTGGGCATTTTTAGAGTGTATTAAAAATTCAGGGTAGACAAGTAACTAAAATGCTGTTTCATAGTTCAGTACTGTAAGAACACTTATCTGTAAAAAAAATTTTTTTTTGAGACAGGGTCTCATAATGTGGCACAGGCTGGTCTTGAACTCACTTTAGCCCAGTGAATTTGTGGCAGTCCTGCCTCAGCCTAAGAATTGTTTTTTAATTATATGGTTGAAGTTAAATAAAATGACTGGATTCCTACAACTATAATCAGTCTCACAGGTTAACTGAATGGAAACAGGAAATTTATATTTTATTTATTTAATTATATATTTTTTAATTAAAAAAATCTTTTTGGTACCAGAGATCGAACTTGGGACCTTGCGCTTGTGAGGCAGGCGCCTTTATAGCTAAATAATTCATGGTTAGATTATAGTTAGTGCCTTCACTATGAATTGGGTATTATAAGTTCTTGTTGGAACACTTGGGTATTTGCTTTTGTAATAATTTTTACACCCACCCCCACCCTGTCTTTTTTGAGACGGGGCTTGCTAAGTTGTCCATACTGGTTTGAATTCATGATCCTCCTGCCTCAGTCTCCTAGAGGACAAGGATTACAAACATGTGCCACCATGCCTAGCAGAATTAGAAGTTTTATTATTTTTTTGGTGATGAGGGTTGAACCCAATGTCTCAAACATGTGAATTACCATATATCCTATTGAGGTACATCTCCAGCCCCAGACGTTTTAACACATATTAATTATACATAAAAGGTCAGTTGTGCATACTTTTAAGAGGTGATTAATTTGGGTATAATACAGGGTAAGTCCAAATCCTAGAGCCTTGGGACTTTTCCTTGATTGGAGCTTTGAGGGCCATCTAACCTTACTTTGCAATGAGCAGAGGACTTTGCTGAGGCCATAGAACAGCACATTTACACTAATGCAAGTTTAATTCAGGAGAGATCTGCTAGCTGGCTTTGGTTTTACAAATACTTGTTTGGCTACAGAGCTCTGTTTGTAGTGTAGTTAACCGAAGTGACTAAATGTGGAGTATACATTTGAGAAGATTGAGTTTTTTTGAGTAGACTGCTGTTGTGTACCAATCTCATTGGAAAACTGCTTTTCGTGATAGTATCTATGAAATTAAGAGTTGATGAGACCTGTTCTGTATTTTTTGGTGGAGTCTTTATTTTCAGTACTGAATTTCCTGAGTGACCTTCCCCAAAGGTGAAAAATCCACATTCAGAATCATAATACTGTGAACTCCAAGGTGAAGAATTATTCTTCGTCCGAACAGATTATATGTCTGATGTTTCATTGTATTTTAACTACTTTTTTCCCTCTCTCTTGAAACTGCCCAATCAGTTCTTACCCAGAATTGATTGGTTTGCTGTTATGGACCTAGATCATCTCAAAAAAGAAAAAAAAATTTATGTATGTGTATCCAAAATGTATTTGACAGTGATAAAAAAAGGAAGCTGTAGCCAAAAGTAGTTTCACTTTTATGCTTTAATTAGCTCAGCAAATAGTTTGGAGCCCCTACTGTGGGCCACACATTGCTTGGAACTGAGGAGGCTTTATCTTCTCTGGGATGCTAATACTCATATGTCTGTTGGTCTAGGCAGCTGTAGAGTAAGAGATGAACTTCAAGGACTGCTTGCTGTATGTGGAAGGACCAGAGCCAGTTTCTCTTCAGTTTTTACTGAATCAGTCCTATTTATTTTGTGCTATTAACCTTTGGAAGAAACTTTAGATTTTCAGCTGCCAAGTAAAAAGTAGCTTTTGTTCTTTTGGAGAGATTATTGTAGGAATATTTTTAATTTTACTGTGAAATCACTTGAAGTTTAGTGTGTTATTTTCACATTGAAAAATAGAATCCATGGGATACCATGATTTAAAAGTTTTATCCATGTTATAAGGGAAATTTCTAAGCTAGCTTTAGTGTGTGGTGATTTATGGTGAGCTTATTTACTTAATAAATGTTTTCTATGGGCCAGGTATCACTTCAGGGCTCTATACAGTTGACCCCTGTATCCACTAGGGATAGATTTAAAGACCCTCAGAAGATTCTTTAGACTGAAGGCAGTACTAAAACCTATACAGATGGGTCCTGACTTACTACAGTTTGATTTAGACTTTTTCTTTTTCTTTTTTTGTACTGGAGATTGCATTTAGGGCCTTCCCACTGATCTATAGTCTGAGCCTTTTTTAAATTCTTTTTTGTTTGGTTTGGTTTTTTTTTTTTTGAGATAAAAGTTAAGTTAACTGGCTGGACTTGAACTTGTGATCCTCCTGTCTTGGCCTCCCAGAATGCTGGGATTGCAGCAGGTCTGTGCCACCATCTCTGGCTGGATTTTTCTACTTTTATGTTATAATGAAAGCACTCTGTATTCAGTGGAAATTTACTTTGGATTTTGAATTTTGATCTTTTCTTGGGCTGTGGACTCTTTTGAAGTTGGGCAGCGGCAGTAAGTTCCAGCTCCCATTTAGCCAAGTGATCACATGGGAAAACACCAATGCTCTGAAGTGCAGTGTGATGCCAGCGTAACATGTTCAGTAGGATAGGTATATTAAATGCATTTTTAATTTGTGATATTTAAATTCACCATGGGTTCATCTGGAAGTAATCATCTTGTAACTGGAGGAGCATTTAAATATACTGTAGTATGTTTTAGAAATAAAATGCCTCTGATAACATCTGAGTTATAAATTAGGTATAGTAAAAGATTAATAATAATAGTTTATAATCAAGTAGAATAATTATAATAATACACTATAGTAGAAATTATTTAAAATTTATATATTGTTTACTTTTGGAATTTTTCATTTAATATTTTTGTATTGTGGTTGATGGTGAGATAACTGAAACTGCAGACTGTAAAACAATGGATAATAGGAGACTTGTACATTTCTTAACTCACTTAATCCTCATATAAGTAACATTGATGTGAACCAACAATGAAGTGTAGGTACTATTATTTTGTAGGTGAAGAAACTAAGACATAAGAGGTTCACTAACTTGCCTGAGTCACACTAGGACATCCTAGCAGAGCTAGGATTTGAACCTCCGCCGTAATAGCTCCACAGTCTGTTATACCTATACTGATCGCCTCTTGGGAGTTGTAAAGTACAATGCTTATAACTACACTCAGGTACAGAGTTGTGAATGTCCTTGGTGCTTAACTTCATAACACATTTCCTAATTCTGTTTTTTTTCTTTTTCTTGAATTTCTATGTCCAGTCCCAGTTGTGCACACCTGTAATCTAGGAGACTGAGGCTGGAGGTTCCCAAATTTGAGCCCAGCCTCTGCAATTTAGTAATCTAGCGAGACCCTTTTTCAAACTAAAATACTAAAAAAGAGGTGATATACAGATCAGTGCATAGGCCCTGGGTTCAATTCACAGTACCCCCCCCCCCCGCCAAAAAAAACACAACCCTTCTATACTTACTAATTTTTGTTTTAGTTGTCAGTAAAGTTTTCTGATTTGCAGTTTAGGGATTGATAATAAGGTACTTTAATTAGCAGAAAGCAAAATGTTGCCTTCTTTGAATTGTGGGATGTAGGTGAGGAGGAGAGCTATAAGTTATAAATTGTTTGCTTTCTTTGCTTTTGTTTTTTAAAACAGTGTCTTGTATGAAACCCTAATTGACCTTGGCTCCCTTAGGTAGCCCAGGCTGGCCTTGAGCTCTCACAATCCTCCTGCCTCAGGCTCCTGAGTACTGTGGTTACTGGCAGGTACCCCTACACCCATCTTCAAATTGCTTTCTTTTTGAAATGTAGATATAAATGTAAAATGATTTGTTCATTTATTTCACTTATTGTTTACTCGGCAAACATTTGAATGCCTACGGAAAACAGTGCATTTAAGATTTTCATCTTGTGGGGCATTAAGGCAGACAGAATAGAGATATTGTACTGTACAAAATACAAATTTGGGGAACCCTTTTTAATAAGTCATTTAAAAATACCAATTAGTGATGGTTAATCTTTGAGAAATAATTAGCTGTCTCTTGGTGAAGCTT